CCATGTCACCAGGTTAATTAACTTCTCTTAAAATTACTGACAACATGACATTTTAGACAACAGTCCAGGAAATAAACTTCTTCGTAAATGTTTTGTCATGATTTAATCGTAAATGTTTTGTCATGATTTCATCGTATATGTTTTGTCAAGGTTTCTTCGTATATGTTTTGTCATGATTTAATCGTATATGTTTTTGTCATGATTTAATCGTATATGTTTTGTCAAACATGAACGTAAATGTTTTGTCAAACATGAACGTAAATGTTTTGTCATGATTTAATCGTAATGAGTGTAAATGATTTCATATAATTGCTTACCTCGGAAAACCGAGAGAAGAGATTCCATATGAAAATCGCAAGAATTTGGCTCCTGGTTTGAAATATTATTATGTTCATAGACTTCCTCGTATATGTTTTGTAAACATGAGCGTATATGTTTTGTCATGATTTAATCGTACATGTTTTGTCAAGACTTCTTCATCGTAATGAGCGTATATGTTTTGTGAAGAATATAGCAACCGCCTGAATTCAGACGGTTGCTTTTTACAAAATTCACACAGGAAAATTCTTGAGTTTTGGTTGAAAGAATACGGTCAAGCCAAAAGTGGCTCGACCTCAAAACAAACATTTTATGAGCTTACTAAGGCATTTATGATGAATTCAAAGGTATTTGCATACATCCTGACCTCGTTCATTTTGTTGCTGAATGGTGCTCTGTAAAAGTATGCATTTTATGTCAAAGATATTATGGACTCCATAGATAAGAAAGTTCATGAGAAGTTAGATGAAGAAGAACTCGAAGATACAGTAGAGAATGCAAAACATTTTTGACGAAGTGAAGATCTTCACTTCGTCAAAATGTGATGCAAAAACAAGCATTTTAATGAGCTTACTAAGGCATTTATGAATGAATTCAAAGGTATTTGCATACATCCTGACCTCGTTCATTTTGTTGTTGAATTCAGCAAAAATAATGTTTAGGGTAGATGGTTTTTAGGTGTCACTACGTCACCATGAATGTCACCAGGTTAATTAACTTCTCTTAAAATTACTGACAACATGACATTTAGACAACAGTCCAGGAAATAAACTTCTTCGTAAATGTTTTGTCATGATTTAATCGTAAATGTTTTGTCATGATTTCATCGTATATGTTTTTGTCAGGTTTCTTCGTATATGTTTTGTCATGATTTAATCGTATATGTTTTTGTCATGATTTAATCGTATATGTTTTGTCAAACATGAACGTAAATGTTTTGTCAAACATGAACGTAAATGTTTTGTCATGATTTAATCGTAATGAGTGTAAATGATTTCATATAATTGCTTACCTCGGAAAACCGAGAGAAGAGATTCCATATGAAAATCGCAAGAATTTGGCTCCTGGTTTGAAATATTATTATGTTCATAGACTTCATCGTATATGTTTTGTCAAACATGAGCGTATATGTTTTGTCATGATTTAATCGTACATGTTTTGTCAAGATTTTCATCGTAATGAGCGTATATGTTTTTGAAGAATATAGCAACCGCTGAATTCAGACGGTTGCTTTTTATACAAAATTCACACAGGAAAATTCTTGAGTTTTGGTTGAAAGAATACGGTCAAGCCAAAAGTGGCTCGACCTCAAAACAAACATTTTATGAGCTTACTAAGGCATTTATGAATGAATTCAAAGGTATTTGCATACATCCTGACCTCGTTCATTTTGTTGCTGAATGGTGCTCTGTAAAGTATGCATTTTATGTCAAAGATATTATGGACTCCATAGATAAGAAAGTTCATGAGAAGTTAGATGAAGAAGAACTCGAAGATACAGTAGAGAATGCAAAACATTTTTGACGAAGTGAAGATCTTCACTTCGTCAAAATGTGATGCAAAAACAAGCATTTTATGAGCTTACTAAGGCATTTATGAATGAATTCAAAGGTATTTGCATACATCCTGACCTCGTTCATTTTGTTGTTGAATTCAGCAAAAATAATGTTTAGGGTAGATGGTTTTTAGGTGTCACTACGTCACCATGTCACCAGGTTAATTAACTTCTCTTAAAATTACTGACAACATGACATTTAGACAACAGTCCAGGAAATAAACTTCTTCGTAAATGTTTTGTCATGATTTAATCGTAAATGTTTTGTCATGATTTCATCGTATATGTTTTGTCAAGGTTTCTTCGTATATGTTTTGTCATGATTTAATCGTATATGTTTTTGTCATGATTTAATCGTATATGTTTTGTCAAACATGAACGTAAATGTTTTGTCAAACATGAACGTAAATGTTTTGTCATGATTTAATCGTAATGAGTGTAAATGATTTCATATAATTGCTTACCTCGGAAAACCGAGAGAAGAGATTCCATATGAAAATCGCAAGAATTTGGCTCCTGGTTTGAAATATTATTATGTTCATAGACTTCATCGTATATGTTTTGTCAAACATGAGCGTATATGTTTTGTCATGATTTCATCGTACATGTTTTGTCATGATTTCATCGTATATGCTTTGTCATGATGATTTCATCGAAACTAAACGTATATGTTTTGTCATGATTTAATCGTAAATGTTTTGTCATGATTTCATCGTATATGTTTTGTCAAGGTTTCTTCGTATATGTTTTGTCATGATTTAATCGTATATGTTTTTGTCATGATTTAATCGTATATGTTTTGTCAAACATGAACGTAAATGTTTTGTCAAACATGAACGTAAATGTTTTGTCATGATTTAATCGTAATGAGTGTAAATGATTTCATATAATTGCTTACCTCGGAAAACCGAGAGAAGAGATTCCATATGAAAATCGCAAGAATTTGGCTCCTGGTTTGAAATATTATTATGTTCATAGACTT